GGGAAAGAGCAACAGGAAATGAGGTTAAAGGGGTAGCAGGTAACAAATCACAAAGGGCCTTGTATTTGAATTAGAGAATCTGACTATTATTAAATTTTGTCAAATCTATATAAGATGCACCATTACTTTATGTACTGCAAGAAAGAAAAAAAAAGCTTTATATTGGGGTCTATCAATAAATTTAATAGAATACTCCTGCATAAAGCTATACTACCAAAGGGCAACAGCCTCAGCGTAAGATAAAGAAATAAACCAGCCATGTAGAAAGGAACAGCATGAAACCATATTTCTCAACTTGCCCTTAGGTGGAAGGAGGGGGGAAAAAAATCTCTCGCTGAGAACCGAATTCCAAGCAGGTCTACAGCCTACCTGTGTGGTCTAAAAAAACAAACAAATAAAACTAAAGCTACCAGTGTGGTCCAAAAACAAACAAATAAAACAAAACAAATAAGTAAAGACTTTAAGGTGGTCTCAGGTTGGTCCCCAGATGCCTGGCAAAAACAAGTAGAAATTCTCTTTAGACAAACCAGACTTTAATCCATGAGAAAAACAATTTAAGATGTAATCTCATTTCAAATATGACAAAGGCACATCTTAGAATCAATGAAAAATAGTAGATCTTATAGTCAGCCTTGAATCTGGAGATGTTTCAGAATCACCTGGAGAACTTTTTAAAAACACTTATTACCAGGCTGCATACCAGAGATTCTCATACAGGCAGGCCTGAAGCACAGCCCTAGAATCTCTATTTTAACAAACTACTAAAGGTTGTTTTTTTTTAAAACACAGCCAGACAAGATAAAAAGACACCAGCATTCTGTCTGCAAAATTAGCTGAAAATTCCTATTGTAGAATAAAGAACAACAGTAGGATTTTAAGCCACATCATGATTTGATCAGATGGACACTTTAGGAAGACCACTCTGGTGCCAGTGGACCTTGTGGAGAAGATAGGTTAGAAGAGGGTAAGGATAGGAGATGGTGGATAGTAAACAGAACAGTCAGGAGATCAGTGAAACAGTTTTAAGGCAAGAGATGGTGATCATTTAAATAGTAATGATGGGGACAAAAATAAGAGGATCAAAGGAGGCAGAATTAGAATTCCATAAAAACTACATGAAGGTAGAAGTGGAGGATCTAATTCTAAAAATTTTAGAAGACTTGCCCCTAATCAGCATAATTGCCACTAGGCCTTGAAAAATAAATTTTTATTTGGGTATGGTAATCTACTACCTTTTAGCTGCATAATAAAGTGCAAGTGCTATAGAAAATCCTATACTACACAACTATCAAATGTTCCAAATGCAACTCACACTCCAAATGATCTTGAAGTTGAGATGTAAGCATAGAGGGATTTTATTCTTTCATGTTTAACATTTCTATAAATCAGTGCATACGAACTGAAAAATTAAAATCTCTTTGGGCAAAAAGAAAGGATTTTTCACTGGTTGATAAATTTAAATTACAAACAGAAAACAATGAATTAACAAACTTACGCTGAATATGAATGAACTGCTTTGGCTGTTTAAACTCTCCTTTGTACAAGCGATTGTAATAGTTGACATTGCTCTCTGCCTCAGGAACTGGAATGACCATGCTCTCTTTTTTTTCTCTGAACACTTGCTGTGCTGAAATAGCTCGCTGTAAATGATGTTCCTGGAAAATGTAAAGTAAGCAACATGAGTTGTTTTAATAATGTCAATTCAATGCAAAATTCAATTTACAATTTACTTTGTTTAATAATTGCACAGTGCTTTAAGAATCAATTCTAAACAGTTCCTTTGCCACAGACCTTCAGAAAACATTGCTATCATTCTCCCTTAATACTTGTACTCATACTGATACCACATTAGATGATTACAATTTTAATAAGTAGGATTTTTTAAAAAAAAAGATTAAATATTCACAAACTAGAATTTAACATCTCAAGAATTTAACATTACAAGAAAATCGATCCCCTGTTTGCTAAATTAATTGAGGTGTTTATCACCAATAACAAGATTACAGAAAAACATGCAAATAACAGGAAAAGAATTTGTATCACAGATTTTAAGTATCTTCTGCATTTATATACCTCAAACTTCAACAGTACAAAATTCTGAATAACTCAAAGAAAAGATAAAATTATATTCAACAGACTATATTACTATCACGGCAGGAAATATTTTTTAACAAAGGTGAAACAAAAAGTTCTTATAAAATACACCCAGATTCTAGTAACTTTTCATTACCTCCACCACTTAATGGACACTTTCTCCCTTGACCCACTATGGACCATTCCCAACAAAGCACCTTTACCTTGTGGAAGGTAGTAAATTAGGTCATGTCATTCCCCAAAGGATCCCCTTCATATTTAGATTAAAGGTTAAAATCACTCAAGGCTTACAAGGCTTTATACCTCTCTGACCTTATTTCCTACTTTTCTCCTCCCAAACTTTATTCTAGCCATACTTCTCCTCTAAGGTTCCTAAATATCCAAATGGATTGTTTCTGAAATTCCTTCAAGTCTCATCTCATCAGAGAGGCCTTGTTATTTCCTTACCTAAAAGAGTACTGGCATATACCCAGAGAAAACCATAACTCAAAGAGACACATGCACCCCAATGTTCACTTCAGCACTATTTACAATAGCCAGGTCATGGAAGCAAACTAAATGCCCATTGACAGACAAATGGATAAAGAAGATGTGGTACATATATACAATGGAATATTACTCAGCCATAAAAAGGGACAAAATTGGGTCACTTGTAGAGATGTGGACGGACCTAGGGACTGTCAAATAGAGTGAAGTTAGCCAGAAAGAGAAAAACAAATATCATACATTAATGCATATATGTGGAATCTAGAAAAATGGTACAGATGAACCTGTCTGCAAGGCAGAAATAGAGGCACAGATGCAGAGAACAAATGTATGGACACCAAGGGGGGAAGGGGGGGGATGAATTGGGAGATTGCGACTGACATATATACACTAACTAATATGTATAAAATAGATAACTAATGAGAACCTGCTGTATAGCCCAGGGAACGCTACTTCACTTCGTTGTGCAGTAGAAACTAACAGAACATTGTAAAACACTATACCCCAATTTAAAAAAAGAGAGAGTACTGGTTATGCTGCAATGCATAAATTAAGATTTATTTATCAACAGCCATCCTTCCAACACATTTCAGAGTACCTGGCAGACACCAGATACTACTCCTGTCCCTGAGAATTATGAGTGAATGAGAGACAGACTTTGCCATTAAGGAACTTAGGTAGTGGAAGAGAGATACCTGAGTATGCGATCTGAGCTTGACAAGCGTATCTCTTTTCAATTAGTCAAACCACTCGTTTTGGGAGGATAAAGATGTCCAAAGAAAGTAAAATGTAAACTAAGAGTTTTAGGATCAACGGGGATTTTTAGCAAGGCAAAAGAGGAAAAGAAAACAACTCAGGCAGAGAAGAATATCCAAAATGGACAAAAGCCCAGAGACATTCAATAAAAGGCAAATATTGAACAAAGGGACATGAGGGTGGGTGCTGGTTTAGATCTGAGAGTTTCTTCACCTTCAGTGCAAGGAAGAAATATGTTTTTCTTCATAGGGTAGAAGCCCAAGTTGGAGCACTAAGTAAATTTCCCCATATAAAAACTACTATTGATTTAGTTAAAATCTATTAGTACTCAAATTTTTGAGTCATCTAATAAGTTGTGATGGGATCAAACATGCAAACAAACAGCATCAAGAAACTAGGAAGCCACGACTTGACTGAGGTTGGCAATTTCTAGCATTATTTAAGCCTATACTTTTCTATTCTTCATGATATTTCACCTCTCCTAGTTAAATAAAGTGGTGCAATATGCAATGCCACCCTGCATTTATATAATGTTTTACAGCTCTCGAAGTATACCCACAGTCACATATCTATTAGCTCCTTACAATCTTGGGACACAGGCATAGATATCCCATTTTGTAAATGAGACTCAAGAAACAAGTGACTTGCTCTTAGCAAATAGGAATGATATATCAGAGAGCCAAATTCCAAGACTCTGATTCCAGTGTTCCTGGACTATTCCATCCTTATTAGAAAACTCTGACAGATAAAAAACCATGTTCTTGTAACGCTAATAATCTACAGACACAGGTAAAAAAAGGAAACTGAGCACATTTTTTATTTGAAGAGATTCTTTTGATATATATTTGACTTTGCCCTAAATACAAAACATTTTTAGGTATTATCCAATTTTTGAAATACATCTTTAATAGATTAAGATTTAACATTAATTTTACAAATGAGAAAACTTAAAAACAGATCATGGATGACTCCCTTCTTAATGCGGCCTACAGAAGACAGATGCAGCCAGAAATTAAGAGGCCAGATCATGACACCTCCCCCATTTTAATCTACAGACTAATCAGTGGCAAACATACAAAAAGGCTCAAAGTAGGTACCACAGTTTTGATTTGTCATTTTATTGGGGGAAGATGTTGACAGGAGTAATGCTGATTCCTTGTTACATGCTGCATCATACACTGGTGAGGTTATCTAATTTTTTAAAATAACTAAAAACCAAGCAATAACTAATTTCCTTTCCTTTAAAAAAGCATGCCTTTGACCCACTAACTCCACTAATGGAATTCATCAAAAGGCAACAAACAAATGGGCAACACCGACTAAATGAAAATGCTCATCATGGCACTGTTTATAGCACACACAAAAAAAACAAAAAACAGTTTAAATAGCAATAAATACAGACTTAGTATATCCATTATGTTGTATCCATAAAATGGAACTCTTAGGTAGTAGTAAAAAACAACATAATTTAGACCTCTATTGACACGAAAAAAGCCTGGAAGAATACAGAATAGAACATTCCACAAAATGCTATAAGTATTTCTTCTGTGTCCCCTTTTGCAGTTTCAGAAATTTTCTATAGTAAATAGTAAATCTACATTTCTTCCATAAACTAAAAAAAAAAAGAAAAATGCTATAAAAGTTTAACATCCTAAATGAAAGGACTCTCCACCAAAATACACAAAAATCACTTCTCATGGTTACTTTGACATTCTGAAATATCCTTTTGAAACCTACCATATTGTACCTAAACACGTTTTGTGTTTCCCTAGAAATATTATACTTTCTCTGTACTTTATACTTTTCCTAGTAACACATGAAGTTACATGAAAAGCCGTTAAACGCAAACTAAAAGACGCTAAATAATTAATGACTTCTAGTCATGTATAATAAGTATCAGGCACAATCCTACAGGGACAGAGTAGAAATATTTTTTCTTTTGGAGATGAGTACACTAAGACTCTATGATTTCTATGACGGAAATCAGCAGGACTGAAATTTGAATCATTATTTGTATGTCTCTTTTCCATCTTGCCAAGCTCATGCCCCAATGTGTAGGGCTTCAGAATGTCTTGGGTTAGGCTGTACACAAAGTCAAACATTATTCGTTGATGTTTTAAAAATTTACATCCAAAATTCCCAATTAAAGATACCTGACTGAATAACTACATTTACCTATTCTACCTCACTATAATAGTAAACTTCCTAGTAAAGGACTAAGAAACTTAAAAAGCCACTATAACAAACTGAATTAGAAATGAGCCATCAGCACAAAACAGAATACCACAAAATTCTGGGAGATCAAAATCAAAAGAGGAAGTTTCAAATCCATGCAGAGAAGAAGAAGATAAAAACCGAGACCACCTCACCTATCCTGCAGAAAACCAAATGATGGGGATTTTGAAACACTAGCTAGAAAGAGCCAGAACGAGACAAGCTATTCTCTGCCTACTCCTCAAAAGCAGATCATGCTACACAGTCTACACAGACAGAAGAGGGAACCACTGAACCAGGAATGTTGTGAACCACCCCAAATCTACAAAAAACGAACAGAAGAAAACCTAGTAAGTCTAGTACTCTTATTAAAACCCCAAAAATGAGATTCAACTATACATCTAATAATGAACTCTCTCTACTCCAAAGTGGAGGTGGAGAAGAAAACTTTAAGAATGTCCCAAACTTAAATATCCTCAAAAGAAACACTTAGGGATATGAAAAAAAAATAAGTCACTTGAATAAGAAACTTAAAAACTAAAATCAGAGAAGGGGGCAAAAAACTCAGGGAAAAAAAATAGCAAGAGTTGAATGAACTCAGGAAAGAAAGAAAAAGACAATTACCTCAGAGATGAAAACTAAAATTACTAGAAGCCCAATGTAAAATGTACTCAAAGACATAAGTGTGTTGTATAAAGGCTGTCAAATAATCAAGAGAATAAAAATAAGATGAAAAAAGAACTAAAATGAGTAAGAAAGAAAATGATAGGAGACAAAAACAGGCAAAGAACAAATGACATTCATATAATTGGAGTCCTTGAAGAAAGAACAAAAAATGCAACAGAACTAGTATTTATGATAAAAGATATGAATCTACTTATCCAAAAACAGCCCAACAGGGAGCAAAATGGCACACGAGAACTTGCATAACCAGACAAGATCTGATACTGCTTGGAGCAATCAGGAGAAAACATTCTGCTCACAGCTTCTCCCTTGGGAGGGAAAG